TATTTAAACCTCTTAGCACGAGACCAATCCTAGGTACTTAGTTTTCCTGAACCATAGATTCATTGAGTTAAATAAAGCTTTATGCAACATATTAGTATAATGACATTATTATTATTACTAGCTAGCTTGTGGCTAACAAATTAAGAATGTATATACTATGAGTATTATAGTTTAGTAGAATTGCGGAAGGATAAAACTTTGAAGGTACACAACTGACAAAGCAGAGCCGCTTAGATTGCTCGCACATGTAATCACGTACATTGCATGTGATGAGCCGCTATTAGAATTTAGATACATTGTATTCAGAGTATGTGACTTTAATTTAACTAACCCACCTTTGTCGCCCTATGCAACTTTATTATAGATTTATCGTCATTTTTAACTTTTCTTCCCCAGCTTCAACCCAAACCCATAAACAATTCATGAAAATGTTTTCATTCATATTTTAATTATCTCTTCAAATTTGCTTAATAGAAATAATTTTTTATTTCGCATTAATATATATATCCTAAAGTTTAATTATAAGATTAAGTTCTTCTATCTCTTTCCCATTTCTTTATATCCTTTTCTCAGGCCATCTCTTTCTTAGACTTGTTATCCATTAGGAGAAAAATGTAATGGGTCATTATTTCAATTCTCTTGCCTATTTAAATTTAAATATTTCCTAATTCATAAACTATTTTCAAAAAATGCAAAAAAAAAAAAAAAAAATCATCATGCCTAATATTTTGTTTTGCATCTAAAGGTTTTATATTGGGTTAGTCTAACTATAAATAAATTAAGACGATATACTGATCGATATTCACATTTATGGCATAATTTTATTTCAATCTCTACTACAATTAGTTTCATCGATTTATTTCTATTTAAGTTCCATCCTCTTTCTTTCCTTTTTTTTTATTTAAAAAATGATGTAGAGAGTTATCCTTTTCCTAATCACTATAATGCTGAGAACATCTGGTGATAACTGAAGTGGGTTTGTTCGTCTTAGATTATAGAATTTATAAATAATATACTATTTTCAGCATTTGGTTTAAACGGAAACGACAAAACATGGTAGTGTGCCAATGCGCTGATTGTCGGGAAACAGATAAAATATTATGGCTTTTGAACAAAATTCTCCACATCGATCCACGTTCGTTGCCGTTGGTATAACTCAGAACAAGGTTGTCTTTCTCCATGTCTGTTTTGTACTACTGTCTATAAATTAGAAAATTAAATAGGAAAAATAATAGTACTGAAAATTAAATTTTGCCGACAATGCTCGAGGCACGGACGAATTCTAAAACAATGCTTATTTTGATTTTTTTTTCTTTCTTTTTGACATCTGATTAACAAGAAGTTAAAAACAGACATTATCTTCTGAAAATAAGCTTCAGCATTTTATGTTTAGGTGCATGAGCCAGCGTTTACTAAGGGAATTAAAAAAGGGTTGGAGATAGAATTTGAAGCAAGGTTTAATTAACAGCAAATTAATGAAATTCCCAGTATATTTGGCCTTATATAACAACAGTTTTTCAGTATTCTTTGTTAGAATTCGAGTGTGAAATAAGTTTTATATCGATTAAATTTAAATATATTAAATAATATATAATTAAAAATAGTTCATATCTATCAAATATCTTAACTCAATAGTGAGATTAAAGATGATGGTTTAATTAGGTGACTGATTTGAATGAATATTAATCAATAAAATTAATGATGAATTTAAGAGTGAAATCCTGAAAGAGTATGAAATTGACATGACATCCAAAAGTAGGATTATACCTTGTATGTCTTTCTAGAGTGTGGATGACATATCTTGCTTTTTTCTAGAGTGTTAAGGTCGTGTTTTATTAATGTGTAATAATAATACAAGTAGGTCGCAACTAGATATTTATGAATAGAAAAAATATTTCGCTTAATTAAGGAGGAAACTTGTGAAAAAAATTCATACTTAAAAAGTGTAAGAATTTAAGTATACATCAATTAAAATTAGACATGTTAAGTAATATATAAGTAAAAAAAAATCATTTATTTAATACTTTAAAATTTATATTATACTGTAATGTGAAACTTATTTATATAATTTACTTACAATCAATTAATAAAGTATTATCAAGTGTTTAACCGATCCAACACTCTTAACATATTATATGGATATAAACAGATAATTGTTAATTTGCTAACTATTAATTAACTAATAAGTCAACTTTTAGATGGTTGAGTTCAAATAGTTCTTGGGCATCGTGCATCATCGCAATCTCGCATATATTATATGGCTATCCCTATAGAAAGGTCATTTAATAAATGTGACATACAAGTTTATATTATCTCTCATGCTGGATTAGTTTAGCATCTGATTCTGATTATAGATTTCTATCATGCTGGATTTACTTCGCCAATGTACTTTTATATTAAGACAGTGACTCACTTGTACCTAGGCTGCATTTTCTATATATAAGAGGCTATTGTCATATATTGTTATTTTACAAGTTTTCATCATGCTCATTTAAATGCTAAGGGTATTTTTCTTTTCCAAACACCTTTTCCGGTCCTTTACCAAAAATAAAATAAATACATTTCCATTTGCTTGCGTTTGAATTAATATCTTCATCTCCCGCTTTAAAAACAATTCACATAAGTCTTTAAACAAAAACACTAAATTATGAATTTATTTGAATAAATATTTTTAAAAGTACTTTTATAAAAAGGAAAAAAAATAAGTTTATCTATTAGATAAAATTAACTTATACATAAATTAAAAATATATTTATAAAAAAAAGTTGCGAGTAAAAAATTTTACAAAACAATTTATAAGAATTTTTTCTTCTTCTAAAAGTGTTTCATCCTACCTCATTATAGCATTCCAACAAATTAATAGTCGTTCCGTGAACTATCAATGAGTAAATTAAAACATTAGTGGTGAAGAACGAAGATAAACTCTTACATATTTAATAATTAGTCGATCTATTTAAGTTACTATCTTTCAATAGCTGAGTTTATAGTTGGCTAATCTATTAAACCATTATCAAAGCAATTTAGGCTAAGTTATTTCATTTATAGGGGGTGGCTACTTCCAATATTCAAATTCTTCCCTTAATTATTTCCTTTTACTTAAGAAAATCGAATTAAGAGTTAGTGTTTATTTTTTTTCACTTCATTGTTATAATAAGATCATTTCAATGAAGTTTAAGTTTAGAAGAACAACAAGAAAAAAAAATAAAGATAAATTACGCGCGCTAACAATTTATAATAACAAAAACATTCTGAAATTTTGTGAAATTGTACATAATTCTCTCACTTTTTTAATATTTACAACATTTTTTAATAGAGGATACAATGTGTGTAATATTTCTCACTTAGAAATAATTAATATTTATAACAATATATAAAAAGGGATACACCATTTTAGTGTTCACTTTTTAAAAGGTAATTATATCTCTATCTCACATTTTAATATTTTTCTATTAGTGTTTCTCTTAAAGATGAAATAGAATAAAGATGTATGAAAAATATTTATTTCATTAATAATAAATACTCGCTATTTTTTTTTTATCATGAAGACACAAAATACTTTTCTCCATGCTAGTAACATATAAAGAGTGTCAATGTAGTGACGAATCTAGAAATTTTATGTAATAAAATAATACTTTTACATAAATTTATAAAATTTAACATATACCTTCACATTTTTTTTAAATATAAATATACATCAAATTACTCTTTATGAGATTTTATATTTTAAAAACATTGAATAATTGTCTTATTTTTAACATTTTAAAAAACATCTCTCTCTATATATATATATAAGTAACTAAATAATCACTTAACCATTCATATCTCATATCAACATTAATTATTTTTCTTTTTAAAAAAATTAACATAATAAGAGCTTGGCCTGCATCATCACTCCTAAAGATTTTTACTAACTTAATTATAATTAGTATTTTCTTCGTTCTATAATAAATATCATTTTAATCTATTTTTCAAATTAAGAATATAAATAAAAAAGAAATAATTAATACTTTATTGAAAAGTTAACACATATTTTTTTCTTCAAGTAGAACACTTGAAAAAAATACTTCAAAACATTAATATATTAATTTTGATTTGCGTTTTACAAAATAAAAATACAAAAAAGTGAGACATTCACTTTTTAACAAACAAGTGTGAACATATTATCATATTATACATATAACAAACTAAATATAAAAATAACTAGTGGGGAAATGCTCCCACTATCTTAAACGTGAATTTATCTGTGTTGGTGTAATATTTTTTCAAATAATTAAAAAAAATAAGTTAAATATAGAGGTAGTAAAAATATGAGAAAAAAAAATGGAGTTTGTCTATAATCTTGGGAAACTTATTTACTTAAAAGTTTACTTAAAAGACTTATTTACTACTAAACGTGTGAATTAATTAGTGATTTACCTAGGATCGTGTCTAACAAAAGATATCTATATATGATTTCCCTTAAAAAAAATAGAGGAAATTTTTTTTAAAAAAATATTATTTAACTTTTACTCACGGTCACAACAACTACCTTTCCTACACCCTTTATTAATAAATGAAAAATCGAAACATTAGTGTTTATTTTTCCTTTTTCTTCATTAGAAGAGCATGTCATATATATCAGAAAAAATTGTTTGTTGTAAGACAATTTATTTAACGATAAATATCGTGTTTCGTCTATGTCATTTGCAAAAAAATAAAATAAAATAGGCTAGTGACAACACAACTACAATATTGTGAATGTGATTAACTTGTAACACAATTAAGCGGAAATACCTGTGTTTGAAAGAAAAAAATATAAGAAAAAGTAGCCAAATTAAGTAATTGATCACGAGGACAGAAACATTAAAGGGGTCCTAAAAAAGTGGGAGAATTTTGGGGATTTTCAAATGATATTCACCGAATAGAAAATATTGAAAAGCGGAAACTCGGATATTTTTTATAAGGAAGGTTTTGGCATTCTTTGATTTTCATTGATATGGTCTTGGACTCACTTTATCTGAGTACACCCTCCTATGCCATCCCTTTGTTTTGTCTTATGTGCCCTCTTTCTCTCTATAAATAAGCCTCAATGTCCTATCCTCACACTCCCCTAACTACATTAAACTCTTATTTTCCCATTCTCTCTGCTCAATTTTATCACGACACAACGCATGGAACCTCCCTCGTCTTCCAGATTCAATTATCACGAGGTGGGTCATTGCATATTTCTCCATCTTTATCTTACTCTTTTATTTTAATGAAACTTGCATACATGTTTTCTCTTGCATTTTTTCTTAGTGTCCTGGTTTCTACAGGGTTTAGCTATTGGTTTAACGTTTAAGGATTCATAATTCATTGAATTCTTTATTATTTTCTTTTACTTGTTTGTTCTTTTCAAGTGGATTAACGTTGGAAGGAACGAAGGGGTGAGACAAGTGTTTTATTGTTTTATTGTTTTTAGTTTTACAGTTTTTATTAGATCATGTATGTATGATACATAAGGTTTCTTTTTCTTTCGTACATGAATTGAGTTTAGTTTTTCACTGCTATTCCTTCTTCTTGTGGATAGAATGTATCGTATTTCGTGTTCGTTGAACCCTCTTGCAAGAAGGAGACATATCACGGAAAATTTGTGGAGACGAATTCTTCCGCATTAATTTTCAGGGCCCAATGTCAACATTTTTTTTTTGCTTAAAGATAATTAATATTTTATTCTTGATTTATTTTGTATACAAATATCTTTAATAATAAGGAAAGATCCGTTTTAAATATTTTCTTTCCTTCTTTTACAAGGAAAGATCTATCTTTGACCCTTCTTTCGTAATTTGCTTCTCCATTATTATTAAACCTTAAATACTCGTATTTTAGCCGTTTCAAAAACATTCATTTCTAAACCAATAAAACATATGAATTTTAATTTTTTTTCCTCAGGCGATTGTTGAGATTTTTTTAGTTCTCTTCCAAACCCCATGCAAATGGGAATCTATGATCCATGATCTATGATAATTATTCAAAAGCAAGGCCGGTGTAAAGTCTCGCTTTTCAAGGCCAAAGGGTTGATTCTTTTGTGTACACACTACACACCAAAGTTGTCGTTTTCTTTTCTAGTTAAACTTGACATGTATATATCACAGTATTAGTTCGTTCAAAGTTCAATATTCTTCTAAAAAATCACACTTTAAGAAAGTCACAGTCAATTATCACGGTGTGCATGAGAGACACATGCGAGATCGCCGAATGTTATACTAGAAGTTAGTTGTAGTACCTTGACTTCACCTTCATCACAATTTTTTTAATTATTAAAAAAAATTCAAGTCCCGTATCAACTAAAAATTAGACAATTAAGTAATATATAAGTTGAAAATAACTTTTACATTATAAACTGGTTTTCTAGGGTTGAATTAGACTTAAATTTACTATTCTAATATGATATTAAAAAAATTTAAATTTCATATCGACCAGAGATTAGACAATTAAATAGTATATAAGTAGAAAACAATATTCGCCTTACAAGTTGATTTTATAAGGTTAAGTTAGACTTATATTATCGATTCTAAAATGAATAACAAATAAAATTAGACAATATAAAAAAAAAAAAAGAATTCTAAATTGAGACGATATTTTAACTTGTTTATTTCCTTTTGCAGAATTATGATGAGTTGAGGCAAAAGCTTTTGGTAATGACAGGGGAACTGGAGACAATGAAGAACGTTCAGAGGGAACTGCTGAATCTGCTGGATATGGCTTATAAAGAGAGAGATGAAGCGAAAGAAAAGCTTGAAAAACTAAAAAATTTCACAGCCCAAAATATCGTTACTAATTCAACGGTGATTCCTCAACCAACGAAAGCAAACTCGAGCATCACGGAATCCAACAGCCCCTCGCATGATTCCCTTCTGGAGGCAGTTTCTCCGGTGGAATTCCCCAACGTTGTGGACTCCCAAAACAGGTGTTACCTAAACCAGAACAATAACCCTTTGGTTCATCGCGCACGTGTTCAGAATCCCACGTGCGATTTTGGGACCCAAGTGATCGAATGCATTGCCAGGGGAAAAGTCTTGCCGCGCCAGGGTGAGCTTCTCAAGACCGTCATGGACGCCGGCCCATTGCTAAAGACACTCCTCGTGGCGGGCCCACTTCCCACGTGGCGAAACCCCCCTCCGGCCCAGGCCATTAGCATTCCTCCCCTCAAAGTTCAAAACTTTGGGTCTTCCAATAATTTTAATCCGCTTCAGAGTGTTGCTGTTGCCAACAATGCATTGCAGCCGATTCAAAATGCTACTTGCAAGAACCTTGCTCCATCGAGGTTTCAACAAAGCCATCAGTACTTTTTATCTAATTAATCAATTCCAATGTAAATGGAGTTAGAATTATTATTGTTAGTGTAAATGGCATACGTGGTGGCTTTGATTCAATTATCATGCTCACATTTTTTTATTTATCAAACTTAATTAGTTGCAAGTTTTGATTCAGGTTACCCATTCCCCTTTGATTTTTTTCTTATAATTTTTTACAGACATAAGAATCCTGTTGTTTCGTTCCTCGTGTTTCAACAAACCAAACGTTCAGTTCTAGTCAAAGAAGTGGCAATAATGAAGTGATTAATCGTATAATATCATTTGAGAATTTGCACGAGTTATTGCTTATCGCTTTTAAATATAGATTGTCGAGATGCAAACAAAGTTTCATTTCGTTCAAATAAGAGAATTATATACAATTATCTTTATTAGTAGAGAGACTTTTTGAGTAGTATTAAAAGTAAAATTGTAAGGGTTGAGCTTAAAACTGATAATATTTTAGTAATGTGGAGACATGTGTATGTATGTGATAATCGGAATCACGTCAACATAGGTATGATCGAAAGGGAAAAATTGTTGACGATATAGCAGCAGATACAATGCGAAATCCTTGACATAATCTCCAACAATGTGTCTTGCTTTGGTTTGGTCGTCCAATTGGGCAATATAAGGTGGGAAATGGGATAACTGAAATCCCTTAGAAAGTGTGGTTAGAATGAAAATAGAGGGTAGAGACGTTTGGTTAGTTTTTGCAACATACATGTTGTTGGTTGTAGTGAGTTTGTGCTGCAATCTAATAGCGCGTGTATTGTGTGGTAGATTGAACCGTTCAAACCCTGGTAGGAACGGGGTTGAAGAGGAAATAATTCCTGATGAGTACTCGATGGAGATTACAAGTGGTAACATAGTGATAAACTCTCTTCCGGTTTTTCAGATTAAGAAAGGGGAAGAGATGGCGGTTAACGTGGAGTGTGCGATTTGTTTGGGGGAATTTGAAGAAGGGGAATGGATAAAGCTTCTACCGAATTGCACACACGGCTTCCACGTGTCATGCATTGACACGTGGTTTCGGTCTCATTCAAATTGCCCCCTTTGCAGATCTTGTGTGGCTCATTACACAGATTCTTGTGAGAGGGAAGAGTCGGAAGAATTTTCCACGGGAACTGATGCGCATTTCCAATCTGTTCCTTCTGAAATCTCTCCAAATTTGGAGATTGTACACCACCACTGTCCTCATTAATTCATTTCTCTTACCAGTCATGCCCAAATCCCAATCCTTTTGCATATATTCATCTCAAATTTTATCTCATAAAACTAGACTTATCATTATTTGAATATCAAAAATCAATAAATCTTTTTTGTATGAAGGATATATATTTTTAAAATTTAATGGTTATACACTATCCATATAAAATACTCTTGCACAATGTGCCGAAGTTATAAGTTGTAATTAAATTTTAAATGAACATATTCTTGCATAGTATTAAAATTACTATAGTTTGAATCACCATAATTACAGCTGTTAGCTTAGTTTTACCAGTGATAAATCCTATAACATGGATTTGTTGTTTACTTGTTCAGTCGGGAACTTTGGAAATTTTTGTAAAGGATTAAATAAGTTTTTACTTCTTAACTCTTTAAAAATTTGGCTTTCAATTTCTTTTATATATTTTTTTTTACCAATTTTTAGTTCTTTATTAATTTTTTGTTTTATAAAATTAAATCGTCTTTATTAATTGATAATATATATTAATAAATCATGACTAATTCGATTATTTAGTAAATGTCTAACATATAACATATAATGATTTACAATAAGAGATTATTTTTTAAAAATAAAAGACATTATTAAAATAAATAGTCACTCATAATTATATGAATAAATAATAAAATTATACTATTATGTGATTTGACATTTATTAAATAATAATATAAAAATTAATAATTAAGTTAATCTTTTATTAATATTCTTCATCACTTGACGAATAAAAGTAATTTTCATCAAAGACTAATTTATATAACAAAAAAAATTAATAAAAGATTAAAGATTGATAAAAAAAATAAAAATTGAATTGTTAAAAGTTGATGGAGTAAACACTTATTCAGCCTTTTTTAAAGTAATCGAATGGGAGGCGGAGGAGTACCGGATAATATCTGGTCTAAGCAGCCAGTTTGGGAATCCACCATAAATACGTTGAGAGTAGGGTTACGAGTTATGGCCATAATTGATTGATGCTTGACGGAATGGAGACGTGAAGGGAACAGCTATATACTCTTGTCAATTTCCCTGATCTTCTATTTTAAGCCTATTCTACGCATTCTGCCTGACATTACGATATTATGATCACCATCCATGGCTTTAAGAACCATGATACACATATTGGGCTTCCTGATAAGCCCAATTCACAATTTCGAGACCAAAACCCGCAATCTGTTTATAACATCAACAACATTTGAGGGACTGAATTCTTTTAAGTCCAATAATCCCAACATGTGTCAGTGCCAGCTGACCATTTTACCTTGGGCAAACTAACTACACTTCATGTGCCATATACTCAAACATGAAACACCAATACATAGATTTAGGTTTCCTTCAATTTTTTTTACAGAAAAATAACAGATGTTTCAAAATGTCTTCCAACAAAACAAATGTGATCATTTCATCAAAATAAATCATGTATACACTAAATTGAACCAACAAAATCTAGAAGCTGATTAATCTCCTGTTGCTTTTACAACTCACGAAGTATATATGAAGCTTAAAAAATTAGATTTAACTACCCTTTTAGCCCTTATAATTAAAAGCATTCCACTTGAATTTTTATACATACCATTTCTATTCCTTTTTAATTTCTATCTATATGTGTCAGTGCCAGCTGACCATTTTACCTTGGGCAAACTAACTACACTTCATGTGCCATATACTCAAACATGAAACACCAATACATAGATTTAGGTTTCCTTCAATTTTTTTTACAGAAAAATAACAGATGTTTCAAAATGTCTTCCAACAAAACAAATGTGATCATTTCATCAAAATAAATCATGTATACACTAAATTGAACCAACAAAATCTAGAAGCTGATTAATCTCCTGTTGCTTTTACAACTCACGAAGTATATATGAAGCTTAAAAAATTAGATTTAACTACCCTTTTAGCCCTTATAATTAAAAGCATTCCACTTGAATTTTTATACATACCATTTCTATTCCTTTTTAATTTCTATCTATAGGTGTCAGTGCCAGCTGACCATTTTACCTTGGGCAAACTAACTACACTTCATGTGCCATATACTCAAACATGAAACACCAATACATAGATTTAGGTTTCCTTCAATTTTTTTTACAGAAAAATAACAGATGTTTCAAAATGTCTTCCAACAAAACAAATGTGATCATTTCATCAAAATAAATCATGTATACACTAAATTGAACCAACAAAATCTAGAAGCTGATTAATCTCCTGTTGCTTTTACAACTCACGAAGTATATATGAAGCTTAAAAAATTAGATTTAACTACCCTTTTAGCCCTTATAATTAAAAGCATTCCACTTGAATTTTTATACATACCATTTCTATTCCTTTTTAATTTCTATCTATAGGTGTCAGTGCCAGCTGACCATTTTACCTTGGGCAAACTAACTACACTTCATGTGCCATATACTCAAACATGAAACACCAATACATAGATTTAGGTTTCCTTCAATTTTTTTTACAGAAAAATAACAGATGTTTCAAAATGTCTTCCAACAAAACAAATGTGATCATTTCATCAAAATAAATCATGTATACACTAAATTGAACCAACAAAATCTAGAAGCTGATTAATCTCCTGTTGCTTTTACAACTCACGAAGTATATATGAAGCTTAAAAAATTAGATTTAACTACCCTTTTAGCCCTTATAATTAAAAGCATTCCACTTGAATTTTTATACATACCATTTCTATTCCTTTTTAATTTCTATCTATAGGGACTAAAAGGAAGAATTTATGCAATTATAAGAATTAAATAGAAATAAAATGGCATATATAAAAACTAAAATGAAATATCTTTATTTATAAAGATTAAAAAGTAAAATTCATGAAGCTTAAGAACAAAAAAACGTAATTAAACCTAAAACACATCCAAAATACAAAGCTAACTGCAACCTTGTTATAACCTTCACATAGAATAATTGAAAGAAAAAAAAAGGCAGGATTCTCTAAATATATTAATATTAAATGACTATATGAATAACCTAAAAGTTAATTAAAACTGTCATTTTAAAAAATGTGAATCCATAAAAAATTCTGAATGTGATTCTTTCATATATTTATCATCCAATCTCGTATAAATGCGTTGCATATGTAATGGTGCACAATTAAATTCAGTATGGAATTAGAGGTGACGCGGTACCTCCATCAGTGAAAAAGCTCCTCAAAAATTAGATTGGACAATGCTAACGACTCATTTACTCATCAAATTGTAAATTGTAACAAAAGTAAATTTAATTCCAATTGAACTAAAATACACCAGATAACAATCCGCAAAAATTTAGAACTTAACCTTCAAATGTCTCCCTCAATGATCAACAAAATAAAATCTAAACAGAAATCAACCTTTGGTGAGACCATGTATCAGTTTAGATAATTCCAATCTTGTTGGCCACATCCAGGGCGTCATAATCAGGCGTCAACCTGACATAAGCCTTCTTGGTTCCATCAGGCCTGAAACAGGATAATTAAAATTCAGAATAAATGACATCTGTGGTAAGTATGAATGCAAGTTTTCAATATAAATTTGTTGTTTCATTAGTAAGATATAGCTACTTTTATATATTAAATACATTTCTCATAAGCCACATATTTCAATGTTGCCATGGTCACATCAGCATGCCATGAGCCAACATACATAAGGTATATAATGTATAAGAATAACATAAAGTTGGGAGGGACACTGCAATATCAAATTCTCAGCAAGGATACCATTGCCATCAGCAATCATGAATCATCAGATAAATTCTAAAACAATAACCACATAAATGCTCACCTGATCAAGGTGTTTACTTTCTTGGCCTGAATATCATACATCTTCTTCACTGCATCCTTGATCTTCTTCTTGTCGGCTCTTAAGTCGACAATGAAAACCAAAGTGTTGTTGTCTTCAATCTTCTTCATAGCAGACTCAGTTGTGAGAGGATATTTCAAAATCTGATAGTGGTCAAGCTTATTCCTAGGTGGAGCACTAATGCGTGGGTATTTGGGGTTCCTATCCTTCTTCAATGTCTTTGGCCTGTGGAAGGTAACAGTTGTTCGGATCTTCTTTGCCTTCTTCTTAAAGGTAGCACCTGACTTAACTGCCTTGGCAGTTTTCAAGGCCTGTGCCTTTGGATCAGCCTTCTTCGAACTATCAGCTGCACTAAACACTAGCTCTAGTCACATATCAAATTACATACAAAATAAATCAAGAGCTAGCTAATTCTTAACCAGCATAATCTTCATCATAATGCAGATATTTGCCTGATTCTATTCCAATAGAATGACATTAACTGTACTCAGAAATATAAATCTCAATCGCCACAACATTCATTGAATCCCTAAAATTTTAATTTTTCAAACGGCGAAAATAGGGTTTGAAATGTCGATACCTAGTCAGAAAGTAAATACGAATATTTAACCACTGGTATGCAGTTTTTACATAAGCGAGATTTCGAAATATTAAACAGTACCTTTAGGAGCCATGAGTGGCGAAAGAGAAGAAACCCTAGTTGTTAAATCTTGGCGAAACCCTAAATGAAAAGCAAAACGGAGATAAGGGTCGTGAAATGTAATAAAGTAAACAGAGAGAGGATAGGGGAACAGAGCATGAGCACAACCTGCGCGAGAGAAGCAGAAGCACCAGCCAGGTTTAGGGTTTGGATTGTTAATATATACGGGCTACCTATGAAGTGGTTTCCCTCATGACCCATAGGCCAAGGCCCAGGCCCATTCACAAGCGTTAACATCCAAACCCAAGAGACGATCATGATTATTTTATCGGTCTACTAAAAATATTTGAATACTTGTTTAATTTTATTAGATTTTTTTTTGTATGTTTCATTTTCATTAATAATATATTGTTATTTTATTATATATAATCTCAAATAATAGATAATAAAATACATTAATATAATACAATGTGCATCTACTTAGTGATACCAAAAACTTACAAGTTTTAATAAAAAAAGATTTGAATATTTATTTAATTTTTACGAAACATGAGTTTTTTATTTTGTTAGGAAAAATTATAAAATTGGATTGTATGACTTGAAATTTTTCTATGGGCTAGGGATCATGTAATAATTTCCCTAAATACACAATTTATTTTATTTTACTTTTTCTTTCACTTAACATAAGAAATTGGATTTAACATCAGAGTGTTTGAGTTGGACATAACCAATTGACTAATGAAAATAGGCCTTATATATACAGGTTCCTTGTCAACACATGGTTCACATATAAGGTTGGACTCATTTTCATCTCAATAAACATGTTTTTTGTTTAGACTCTTCATTAGAGGCCAACAGTCAATGATAGATTGACACTTCAAAACATCATCCTTGATCCAATTATATAATTCTCCATAACTTAAAGATGTCATTACTAGTAACCTAACTACGCTAAAAATCAATATATGGATAGGAAAAGGGGAATGCAATGGGTTGAGTGAACATACCTAATAACTTATAAAACTCTTTTCTAACAAACTCCATCGGTTGCCCATCATGAAATACATTTGAAATGGGAAGACTAGAAGCCCTGGCTCATTGGAGAAGAAAGTATGCAAAGGAGCTTCACGAGAGGTTTTTTGAAAAAATGTGTGCACAAAATGCCATGCAACCCCTACTCATAGAGTTAAAGAGAAGTGCATGAGAGGTTGCAAGGGCAATTGAAAAGCCATGAGTGTAAAGAAATTCCCTCCTAAAAAATGATGACCCCCTATGACTCTCACCATTTTGTGTGTAAGCCACGTGTACCCATCCCAATGACTAGTCAGAATAAATTCAACACACATAGTGGTACAAATTTATGCCTTTGATGACCATGATTATACACTAAATTACTAACTCAATAATGGATGAAGATTGTACAAAATTCTAGAATTCTTGGAGGCCATAAAGAGACTATGAATATGTTTAAAATCCTCATTTTAGGGTAAAGATGGACAAAATACGCTCTTGAATACTCTTTCTTTGGATAGATGACTAAATTATCTTCAAACTAAAACATTTTTTCCTAAATTTTAACTCTTTTATAAAAGTTAATTCTTTTGTTATATTTAATTACTGCTTACTAACTCTGTTAGTTTCTTGAACAATTAATAGTAAAGTTTCAATTTAGGACTTATTCTTTCTCCCAATTGATTGTTTTCTCTTCTAATTGATTGTTCTCTCTCCTAATTGCCTAACATGGCTCATAATACAAGGGTTTAAATATTTAATATGTTTAAATATTTTGATTTTGGGTTTCATAGGGTTTCTTGTAGTTAGATGTTTTTGTCTTAGTCATCCTTAATATCTTCATTTGTTCTAGCTATAGGTTTAGGATTGTTAGCCCTAAATTATGGAATTTGGGATTTAGTAAAATGAGTGATCGATTTAAAAAACCTTAAGCAAGGATGCATCAATTGAATATAAGTGTTTCTTCTATATTTAATGAATCACAAAACTCTTTTGATAGAAGTGGGAAAAAAAACTTAATGATAATGGTTCTCTCTATTATTGTGAAACAAGGCTTTGTTGAAGGTTTCACAAACAACCAAAAATCCAAGTAAATTTTTTTTTCACTTATCCTTTGCCGAGGTATGATAATTATATTATTAATGTTTTTTTTATTTATTTATTTTGGATTTTCTTTCTTCTTAATGTTCTGACCTTTGGGTTGTTCTTATTGGTGTAGGATCATTCAAGCAATTGTAATTTCTTTGTTTAGACAAATGGATACAATGAATGACCAACAGGAAAGAGAGTCTGTAACAACATGACAATTAACTATTGACCAATCATGAGATTAACATAATTAGTAACTGATTATAATTGAAGGAATAACTTGCATAATAAAATAAAAATTTAGGAATCCAAATGTTATAAATTTTTTTTTTAAGATCTATTGGTCACCTCTACTATCTTTGAAAGACCAAATTAAATGTTTACTCAAAATAAAATACAAGTCATTTGAGAATCTTGATGAATAATGATGGATGGGGCAAGTAACACCCATTTATATGGTCACACATCATGAAGTTCAAAGAACAAAAGAGAGGTTCCATAGAAAAAATTCATTGTATTGATGAATATGAAAAGGATAATATTTACAGAAAACCAATTAATTAACTAACTTCTACCTTTGAGAAACACAATTAATCAATATACTATAACAAGTGGCAAAGAGTACTTACAGTGAACTCAATACAATTTTCACAAATGAATTTCATCCTTTAAATATCTTTTTACACTATATGAGATTTAAAAAAAAAAAAAATTGCTGTATTTTTGTTTGGACTATGTGTTCTCCGGCGAATCTCCGTTATTTACAACAGAATCGTCGAATTCAGGTATTGATCCTTGTATATCAGACCCATAAATATGCCCCATTTTGGTCCTTTTAGTTTCCAGGTACCTCTTGTTTTCCTCGGTGATTGGTGTCAACACAGGAACACGCCCTACCACTGCCAACCCATATCCTTTAAGACCAACAAACTTTGCAGGGTTGTTAGTCATAAGCCGCATAGTTCGAACTCCTATATCCCTCAAAATCTGCATATTTCATCATTATTTGTCACCACCAACATATAATAAGATTAGCTAATTTTCCAACTCAAGTTTTCTTATTCATAGTACCAACTTTTTGAGATACATTCTTGCATCACATTACTAAAGGACTTCATTTTTCATGTATTATTGATGTAAAGTTTCTACACACTCAATTAATTATAGAATGCATGAAAATTCTAACCTGGGCACCAATTCCATACTCACGAGCATCAACAGCTAAACCAAGTTCTATGTTTGCCTGAACCGTGTCGTGACCTTGATCCTGCAAATTATATGCTTTAAGTTTGTGACCAAGTCCAATGCCTCTTCCTTCATGACCTCGAAGATAGACAACTACTCCTCTACCAGCTTCTTCTATTAACCGCATTGCCAAATCTAATTGGTTGCCACAGTCACACCTAGCTGATCCAAATATATCCCCAGTTAAACATTCTGAATGTACTCTTACTAGCACATTTTGCCCATCTCCCATGTCTCCCTATGAACACAAGTAGTAACTCAAGAGATTATAATTCAGAAGACATTATTCATTTAACAATTTAACATGAGTGTCCTAATAGCTATGTAGAGAAAATGAACGGGGTACTACAAACTAGGCCATTTTTGAAAAATTAACACTGAACTGGATATATACTTTTTAAATGCCATTTTTGAAAAATTAACACTGAACTGGATATATACTTTTTAAATGAAGTGGATTGGTTCAGTTTTTAAAGATGAATAAGATTTTTAAAATTAGATTAGTTTTGTGCAGTTATCCACTTTCTATTTATATATGAATCAATTTTTTTTTTCATAAAACAAACCAATCCATTAATTGATATCTTTTTGCAAAATGGACGGATTCATTTTTCTTTTCCTTTTCAAAACAGATTGGATTTTATAATTTAAATCAATTTGAGTTTTTTGCACACCCCTACCACAAACTAGGTGTATCTATGAACTCTTTTTCTATAGAACTTTCTTACCTTTACAACAGCCACATGTTCAGTTCCATCCAACTTTGAGCTATAACAATATGCTTGAAATATGCCCCATTTAGTTGGCAAGCGAGAAACTGAAGTTCTTTCAACCAATTTTTCTCGCTTTCTCCGATACCTTGAACAACACGCATGCAGATCACATCATTAAGTGAATTTGGTTAGCTTATAAACCATGTTAAAGTCATCTGTTGAATGCATCTAGCAGGAATTAGCAAATATTAAGAGAAGGAACCAAAATCATTTACAATTTGTCAAAAGTGAAGGTAACGCAAAGGTGATTGATTACTAAGTTACCTTATCAAATCTGTTATTGAGACAATTGGTAAGGTGTATTCCAATGCTAACTTTCTTAAATTGGGCAAAGATGCCATAGAGCCATCATTTTCATCCACAAGAGCCGAAAGAACAGAAACTGGGGGCAAGCCAGCCAGTGCAACTAAATCTACTGAAGCTTCGGTGTGACCTGCCCTCCTAAGAACTCCACCATTTCTGTACTTGAGAGGAAACACGTGACCTGGTTTTCTGAAATCTTCTGATTTGGACTCGCGAGATGACAGAGCAATAACCGTTTTTGCCCTATCTGAAGCTGATACACCCGTGGAAGTTCCAGATTTTACATCCTAAGGTAAAACAACAGTGTTTCACAATCTCAATGATTCCTTTTGAGCTTCAAATTTATACAGAAACGTAGGATAATTTGTTATAGAAAAAATAGGCTTCAACATGCACTTTGAATGAGATACTTACCACTGTGATAGTGAAGGTGGGAGCAGAAGAATCCTCGTCTTCAGTCTCTGGTGACATAAGAGGGAGGTTCAGTCTTTGAAGATCCTCCTCTTTCATGCCAACAGATACGATCCCTGATCCGTGCTTAATCATAAAGGCAATATCCTTGGGACTAGTAAGAGATGCTGCCATTATAAGATTTCCTTCAATATCGCCATTTTCATCATCTACTACAATCACAAACTAAAAGGAAAATTGCACCAGTTGTTAGATTAATCTATCATACTCAAAGCACTTATTTATGAACTTTTTCAAGAGCATCTTTATTGTCTGTGTACTTAACTTATACATAAGCTTATTTTGGAGAGTCACCTCATTGAGACAGCTTTTAGAAAAAACAATTATTCCTAAAAATAATCTATACAAACATGCACTAAGGCCATGTTTGGACTATAGCTTATAACTAATGGGATAATTTTCCGAGACTAAAATGTTAAGTTGGAATTTACAAGTGTTGCAAGGAGAAGTCAAATAACAGCAGTGACACAAGTTAGTTTTAAGTCATGAGTCATGATTCATGATTCATTTTATTATCCTGTAAATGCTTGTTAGTGTTGTGTAACAATAGCATAGATCCAACCAACCTTTCCTTGGCGTAGTGCATTAAGGGCATGTTCAATGGAAGAGTAGCCTTTAGAGGGACAATCTGGATCACCCTCAGCATCACTAACAAAGAAATCAGTGGTTTCGGGTGTTATTTCAGCGTCTAACGTTCCAAATGGTGCTGAAGAATTAGACTCGTTATTTAAGGCACCTAACAGGGATCCATTCTCATTATTCTTCAAATTACTATCATCTTCTACTCCAACTGCAGAAAACCCAACAGCACAACAAGTTGAGTTCCACACCTTGTTCTTCCATAGACCAAGTCTTGCGCTATGTTGAATACCATAGGAGCGATGCAAGCTGCGGATAAAGATTTAATACTCAGATTAATTAACTTGAATTTAGCAACAAAAAAAATGACACACGCTAGTGTTACGTAGAGAATGTAAATACCTTGAACTAGTGATGACGTGGGAAATCAAGGGGTGAGGGAATGAAGCAGAGTCCATAGTCTGGAACTTCAAATTTTATTCTCAGAAACTGGAACGAGACACAAATTTAATTCGTGTTATGTAGAAGGAAATTATAAAAAAGAAAAAGAAAAAAAAAATGAACCTCTAGTTATGGATGTGTTTGGACAAAGAACTGTTATCCAATATTTATAGCTATACTTTAGCAAAGAGTAAGAACCACAACCTTTTGTTTTGTTTTTGTTGAGTTTGACAACCAGTGGTGTGACTATGGTCTAGCGGTTTCTCATCTTAAACAATAATTGCTCTCAATTGGTCAAAAGTTATTATTATTCTTATATATCTAGCATGTCTTCTATATCTCGTTGTCATCTTAATTAATAATTGCATATATATTCAACTACTTGATGTCTAAAAAAAAAAAAAAAACTACTTGCAAAACAAGAAACTCGAAATTTTTTTTATAAAAATGAATAGTAACACTTTAATTAGGAGAGGACGTTGTTCCTAAAAGAGTAAAATTGATCCAAATCCAATTGAATGGGCCCTGAGTAGGTAGTAAAGCATAAGGGGTTGACCCGACCAAAATGAAAAGGGTTTTTCTAAGCATTAGTCAAACAAACGAACAAAACAAATCCAAGTACGGTACCGTATTGTCGATGATGACGTGACATACCAGTTCTCTTGGCTTTATTTTGTTGATCTCATTTCTCTCACAGAAAATGGTGGCGGAGAAAGCGATGCTTTAGAGGCTCAGTTCAATGTCCTTCTCTCTCTAACATAACACAAAACAAAACTATGTCTCACTTCTTCCGAGTCTCTAACGTTAAGAGTTCAGTTAGTTAAGACCCACTTCTCTCTCTACACAATTCCATGTTGGGGGTTTGATCCCCAAGCTGAGTGCATTTGGGAATGGCGGAACCTTCCACTTCAGATGTTTCAGTCTATTCCACAGACAACAAGTTCTGGAAAGGGGCATTTGCTGTCGCTGGAATCATGCTTACCCTCGTTACTTATGGTGTCTTGCAGGTTTCCTTTTTATTTCATTCATCTTTTCATATGTCATAACACTGGACTGGGATCTCTCTCTCTCTCTCTTTTATTTTATTTTATTTTTATTTTTATTTTTATTTTTTTTTCTGTTCTTCAATGTCGTTGTTATTATTGTTATCGTAGAAATGCATATTCCGGGGAACATTAGGTAGTTCAAAACCGAGTGTGAAATTGGGTGACCTTTGAGGATTTCTTCTTAAATTTGGGAGCCATCTTCATTTTTTTTTCCCGATAAAAAACATTTCCATCACTTGGTCCAATCAAAGTTAACCGTATCAATTGTCTCCCTCTTCTTAATGAATAAAATCTTGAGCTTTAGCTGTGACTGTAGTTAAGTTAGAGCTTATTTGGATACAAGTTTTAAGCACTTTTATGAGCTTCTCTACCAAAAATAAAGAGTATTTTTCGGTATGCTGTTAAAAGTGCTTCTAAACTTGTATCTAAACAGACCCTTAGTAATATAATCTTGGTTTGGTAATTTAGAATACAATTGCTAGTGTTATTTGAATACTGAACATCCATGGAAAATCTGTATTTGAGGTTATAGTATTGTAAAACATAAAAAGAAAGAAAATAAAAACTAGTATTTGCAACAAACACTCATTCACCTAGTGGCTAGTCGGATAAGGCTTATGTTGTTGTACAAGCAACAAACTTGAATGGGTTGCTAGTACTCTTGGTTAGAGTAGTCTTACTTTTTAGTAATTCGATGCTTATTTTGCTGTATAATTTATATACAAGGTATGAGTAGGTTGAAACAAATTAGACCAAGATTTCTTTCTTTTGAATGGATGGCATCTAAGTTCTCTCATAATCCAACATTTATCTAGTGATTTACATTAAATAGTTGTTTCTGCAGGAAAAGATCATGAGAGTACCGTATGGGGCAGAAAAAGAGTATTTCAAGTATTCACTGTTTCTTGTTTTCTGCAACCGCATCACAACATCTGCTGTTTCTGCTGCTTCTTTGCTGGTATGTACATGCAATATGCAGAAATACTGTTGTGTGCATGTGTTGGTTTGACAAATTTTGCAGTGTTTGAATTACACGATACCTTTCCTGTGACTACATTTGTTCTTCATAATTTTCAATGTTTCTTACAGGCAAGTAAAAAAACGATGGACCCTGTAGCTCCCATTTATAAGTATTGCCTTATCTCGGTATCAAACATACTAACTACAACTTGCCAGTATGAGGTAAGTGTCATATTTTCTGTATGCCTGTAAGCTTGGAAAGAGTTGCTAATATTAATGGTTATAATTTAGTAACCATATTTCCTGGAATAACTATTTTCTTTTACAGGCCCTTAAATATGTTAGTTTTCCCGTTCAGACCCTTGCAAAATGTGCAAAAATGATACCAGTTATGGTAGGTCAAACTTAATACTGTACCTGATTATATAAATTTCCTTTATGGATATGACTGGATGGTTTCTATGTTCATTATATCACATAGCTGGTATTTGTCTTATACCATTGATTTGCACCTTATTTTCACTTTCTCAGTTTCTGCTACTTTTACTGATGAAGAATGGTAGTGGCTACTTTTTGTCATTTTTGAAAAATAAATATTTTAAGCTCTGTGTGTGTATCCATAATGGTATGTGATTTCTAGTACTAGTGGCCCCTTTCTTTGCTTAGATTGGGACAAATCCAGAAATACTAAAAAGTGTAAAGTTCATAATTGAATTTTATTATTTTACCTCACAATTTTGCAGTCATTCAATTATCTTAAAAATTTTGGTTGACTACTTTTCTAACTGGTCAAATACTTGGCCTGATTCTCTCTTTCTTACTGTCTTTATCTTGCAGTGTCTAGATCAGAAAGGGAGGAACAAAAATGCTAACTGATGCATATTCAAAAAAATAAACTGACCATGACAAACAAGAATCGCCTATCCTCTAGATTCTAAGCTGGGGTTTTAAATATAATACCTTAGATTGACTAATTAAATGATTTTAAAGTTGAAGCAGTTTATACATGAAAATGAGAAATTCACTGAGGCATTAAGTTGTGGTGCACAGGTTATAAAGAAGCCTAAGAGGATAGTGTATGAATTTAAAGTGCTAAATAATTTTTTACTAGTCAGCCAAGTTGATTATGATAGTAAAACACCTTGTTATGTGTAGAATGAGGTATAACTTTAGTTTGAATATTTATTCCTATGACTTCCTTATATTCTTCTAAATTCTAGAGTAGCGGAGACCTTGTGTAGTCTGTCTAGATTATCTGCTGAGTGATGCCTACCCCTTTGTTTTTCTTCATCCTACATTTAATTATGTTCTGAATCCCATTCCCTCTTTCATGATTCATATCTTTTTCTATTCTTGCACCTTGAGTCCTTCTTCATTCCTCCTTTTGTTTGACATACAGGTATGGGGTATTCTCATTATGCAGAAGAGATATCAGGGGCCTGACTATTTGTTGGCCTTTTCAATTACCCTTGGCTGCTCAGTATTTATCCTATATCCGGTAATTATTGTGTCTTTGACGATATTTTTTTCTACTGCTTTATTACCATCTGTCTTTATGTGATTTTTTTCTACTGAAGAGCTGACAATGAATACCCATATGATACCATATTAGCATTCTTCAGTGATTTGATGTTGCATGTGGGTGGTACTATTGTTTTGGTAATAAAGAGGACTTTTATTGAGGATATGATAAGAAAGTTCGATGAGTGAGAATATTTTTATCCTTTAGACAGAACCCAAAGAAATAACAAGGCTTTTGAATCATCAAGAATCATTATAGAAAGACTCCCAAGTTCTAACCAATAAGCTATATGCTCTATTTTGTCCCAAAGAGCTGGAAGTTTTAAACTAATAAAAATTCTGACATTGTTATCTACTCATATATACCAATGCAAATAAAGCATGATTTGCTTGGACAAGTTTTACCCTTATGCTGCCTTTGGTATGTGAGGATAACAAAGGTTAGGATTTGAAGGGAGAAAATTTTCATAAAATCAACTGTTTTGAGCTGTTTAATATCAGAATTAAGAAAATTTCCAGGGACTAAAGGAGTAATCTTTTCTCCTATTTTAAGGTTAAATTTTACTCCAACTAAGACTAGGTTAAGAATTTTCATATTCATTCCTAACTCTATGTCTCACTTACAATAGCGAGAGTTCCAACTACGGCTGCAGAATGGCTGGCACCCTTGATGGCCACATGATAGCACTAGCACTAAGACCATGCAACACAAGCAATGGGGTGGGGGGGGGGGGGGA